GAAATTGATATATGCCTTGAGAAAGAAAATTATTTCCATTTTTGAAGGTTGGTTTTTCTTTTGGTATATGAAGTTGCAGCATACTGAGAGGTATTCCAGAGCAACGCTGTAATTTTCCAAATTTTGCTTTGTTTTTAAATGCTCTTTCCTTGCCTGACAGGTAGGTGCAACTTATGCATCAGATAAGAGTGAAGAAGACCATGAAATGGAGAGTGAAGAGGAAGTACCACCTAAGGTGCAAGGATCTAGGCGAAGTAGCCGCCAAATTAAAAAACGAAGAGTCATATCAGACTCTGAGAGCGACATCGGTGGCTCTGATGTGGAATTCAAGCCAGATGCTAAGGAAGAAGGAAGCAGTGATGAAATAAGCAGTGGATTGGGGGATAGTGACAGCGAAAGCCTGCACAGCTCTGTCAAAGTTGCTCCAAAGCGGAAGAGAATGGTGACTGGAAATGGTTCTCTCAAAAGGAAAAGTTCAAGGAAGGAAATGCCCTCAGTCACCAAACGAGCAACCAGCATTTCATCTGAAACCAGGAGTGCTTTGTGTGCTTTCTCTGCCCCTCAAAATTCTGAATCCCAAGCCCACATTAGCGGAGGATGTGATGATAATAGTCGCCCCACTGTCTGGTATCATGAAACTTTAGAGTGGCTTAAGGAGGAAAAGAGAAGAGATGTGCACAGGAGGCGACCCGATAATCCCGATTTTGATGCATCTACACTCCATGTGCCTGAGGATTTCCTTAATTCCTGTACTCCTGGGATGAGGAAGTGGTGGCAGATTAAGTCTCAGAACTTTGATCTTGTCATATTTTATAAGGTGGGGAAGTTTTATGAGCTGTACCACATGGATGCTCTTATTGGAGTCAATGAATTAGGGCTGGTGTTCATGAAAGGCAACTGGGCCCATTCTGGTTTCCCTGAAATTGCATTTGGCCGATACTCAGATTCTCTGGTCCAGAAGGGCTACAAAGTAGCACGAGTGGAACAGACTGAGACCCCGGAAATGATGGAGGCAAGATGCCGAAAGATGGCGCATATATGTAAGCATGATAAAGTGGTGAGGAGGGAGATTTGTAGGGTCATTACTAAGGGTACACAGACATACAGTGTGCTGGAAGGTGACCCCTCTGAGAACTACAGCAAATATCTTCTTAGCCTCAAAGAAAAAGAGGATGATAATTCTGGCCACACTCGAGTATATGGTGTATGCTTCGTTGATGCCTCGCTTGGAAAGTTTTTCATAGGTCAGTTTTCAGATGATCGCCATTGTTCCAGGTTTAGGACTCTAGTGGCACATTATCCTCCAGTACAAGTCTTGTTTGAGAAAGGAAATCTCTCAACAGAAACTAAGATGATTTTGAAGGGTTCATTATCCTCTTCTCTTCAGGAAGCTCTGATACCAGGCTCCCAGTTTTGGGATGCAGCCAAAACTTTGAGAACTCTCCTTGAAGAAGGATATTTTACAGAAAAGTTAAATGAGGACAGTGGGGTGATGTTACCCCAGGTGCTTAAGGGTATGACTTCAGAGTCTGATTCTATTGGGTTGACACCAGGAGAGAAGAGTGAATTGGCCCTCTCTGCTCTAGGTGGTTGTGTCTTCTACCTCAAAAAATGCCTTATCGATCAGGAGCTTTTATCAATGGCTAATTTTGAAGAATATATTCCCTTGGATTCAGACATGGTCAATGCTACAAGACCTGGTGCTTTTTTTTCTAAAGCCAGTCAACGAATGGTGCTAGATTCTGTGACATTAAACAACTTGGAGATTTTTCTGAATGGAACAAATGGTTCTACTGAAGGTACTCTGCTAGAGAAGATTGATACCTGCCATACTCCTTTTGGTAAGCGGCTCCTAAAGCAATGGCTTTGTGCCCCACTGTGTAACCCTTCTGCTATCAACGATCGTCTGGATGCTATTGAAGATCTAATGGTTGTGCCTGACAAAATCCCTGAGCTTGCAGACCTTCTAAAGAAGCTTCCAGACCTTGAGAGACTATTGAGTAAAATTCATAATGTTGGCTCTCCCTTGAAGAGTCAGAACCATCCAGATAGTAGGGCTATAATGTATGAAGAAACTACCTATAGCAAAAAAAAGATTATTGATTTTCTTTCTGCTCTGGAAGGATTCAAAGTAATGAGTAAAATTATAGGGATTATGGAAGAAGTCATTGATGACTTTAAGTCTAAAATCCTTAAGCAGGTCATTACTCTGCAGACAAAAAATCCTGAAGGCCGTTTTCCAGATTTAACTGTAGAACTGAACCGATGGGATACAGCCTTTGACCATGAAAAGGCTCGAAAGACTGGACTGATTACTCCCAAAGCAGGATTTGACTCTGATTATGACCAAGCTCTTGCTGACATAAAAGAAAATGAGCAGAGCCTCTTGGAATACTTGGAGAAACAGCGCAGTCGAATTGGCTGTAGGACCATAGTTTACTGGGGAATTGGCAGGAACCGTTACCAGTTGGAAATCCCAGAGAATTTCATCACCCGTAACTTGCCAGAAGAATACGAACTGAAGTCCACCAAGAAGGGCTGTAAACGATACTGGACCAAAACTATTGAGAAGAAGCTGGCTAATCTGATAAATGCTGAAGAACGGAGAGATGTATCACTGAAGGATTGCATGCGGCGACTATTCTATAACTTTGATAAAAATTACAAGAACTGGCAGGCTGCTGTAGAGTGCATTGCGGTGTTGGGTAAGATTTTCAACAAACTTGCTTCTAAGGCTTTGGTTAGTAATATCCCGTGTCCCAGTTGTGCATATCCCTTAACATAAGTAAGGTTATGGTGTTTTGAAAAGTATGAAATATACTTGCCTCCTCATGAGGCAAAATAAGATAACTAGACTGCCCATAGTCATGTAAGTCATTCACTGGAAACTTCATTGTTAGTAAGTAGCCTTCTGGCCTTCCTTCAGTTTTAAATAATTGAATAAAAGATTAATAAAAGTAAATACTTTAAATGAGACAATTTCCAAATAAACTTTTAGTATTTGAAGAATACTGTTTTTGATTTCCCATTTTTGTTAACACTAATTTACAACTATCCCTTGACCCACCACTTGAGGTTTTTGCATAACCTCTGCATTTTTTATATTTTAGTGAATCATTACATGCCTGTTTCAAGAGATTCTAAATTATCCCTTTCTCTTAGCCCAAATTGTCACTTTCATCCCTGCAGTTGACTTCTAAGAGCCCTAATTTATGTATTTGTAATTTATAACCTTTTCAGCTTCATTCATTTTTCTTTGTATTTCAAGGCTAACTTTTTGAAGCCTTTACTGTTTTACAGCTTAGGGGTTTTTTTTGTTTTTAATATAGCTACCACAGTTTACCCAACATTTGTAACCCAAATTATGCTATCCAAATTTGTAACATAATTTTGGTCTGAACCTCAGCTGTCCAGAAAAGCATCTTCATGTATTTTGAGTACCACATTTTTTTTTGCTTAAGCCAGTATAGCAAACAGTTTGGTGGGTATATTAAAATCCTCCCTCAACAGTGTTCAAAATTGGTGAATTTATTTTCCTCTATTAAGGTTTGTCTACTGTCAGAATGTTCTGCTTCTCCCAGGAAGTGTTAGCTTCAGAATTATGTTCTGTAATGAAACCACATATAACACTTAAGCTAATGACTCATTTACAGTTAATGAAAGCACTGTATTATGCAATTAATGATAATATCACTAATTAAAGTGCCTACTGTAGCTGTCAAAAAAGGAATTAGAACATACCACCTCCATTGAAAAAGCATTTTTGAAAAAGATTTTGTAGAAGTTGGGTTTTTGAGATTATCAAGAAACTTCAAAAATGATGAAACCTCACTTTTCCTTTCTTTAACAGATGTCTTATTGTGCTTGGCTAACTACAGTCGAGGGGGTGATGGTCCTATGTGTCGTCCAGTAATTCTGTTACCAAAAGAAGATGCTCCTGTCTTCTTAGACCTTAAAGGATCACGCCATCCCTGCATCACAAAGACTTTTTTTGGAGCAGAGTTTATTCCCAATGACATTGTAATAGGCTGTGAGGAGGAAGAAGAGGAAAATGGCAAAGCTTATTGTGTGCTTGTTACTGGACCTAACATGGGGGGCAAGTCTACCCTTATGAGACAGGTAAACTATGAAGGTTTTGTTACAGAAAGTCATTTGTAACAGTTTAAGAGTGAATGTTTTAATGCCTTTAGACCATCCTTGTCCAAACAGCACATGAATTACATAGAATTCAGTCAGTGACTTAAGGAATGAAAGGGAACTTGAATGTTTATAAAATTTGATCATTGTATTTTTCTAATCACTCGACTATCTGTCTCGTGTTAAGAGAGGAACATGTTAAAAAGGCAAGGGAGGTTTCAGGTCGTGATTTTTTTTTTTAAGATTTTACCTATTTTATTTTTAGAGAGAGGGGAAGGAAGAGAGGTAGAGAAACATCGGTGTGGGGTTGCCTCCCACACTCCCCCTACTGGGGACCTGGCCTGCAACCCAGGCATGTGCCCTGACTGGGAATCAACCAGTGGCCTTCTGGTTTGCAGGCTGGCACACAGTCCACTGAGCCACACCTGCCAGGGCTCATGATTTCTTTATAAGCTTTTTGACTTCATTCTCTCTGAAGGTAGATACATTCATAACAGAAATAATGCAAATGTTGCAGGTTGTCTTTCGATTAGATTCATTTGTAGGAATTCTTACAAAAGAGCCATGGCAGAGTTATTCATCTAGAAAAGCAAAATTCATGACCTCTAGTAACTGTTAACAACTGCTTTTAGGGAATACAATAAATGTATTTTGTCTTCTCTTTATACCAGAGATTGGTCTACACGAGTTTTACATTTGTAATGGGTTGTAGGAAAAAAGGCCAATCACGTGAGAAAGACATTGAGCCCTTGACAGAAATGTTGGCTCTCCTGCACTTCTGCACTAAATTATACTTAAGTTCACCAGATTTGCTAACTAGATAGAGGGAGACAGCATAATGCAGTATCGTGGTTCTCAACTTACAAAATATGGAATGCTCCTTGAATTTGCATGTCATCCTTTTGCAAGGGCCAAGCTAAGCTTCTTTATATTGTTCCAGTGTTAGTATCTGTGTTGTTAAAGCTGGCACCTTTTGTTTTTAATACAAAATAAAATCACCTACAGAGCTCATCAAAAATGTATGGGGAGAATGTCCTTCTCTGAAATGAATCCACTTGGACTGGAATTGGTTCTAAGCACCCCAAATGGTTTTACTGTATAGCCAGGGTTGAGAATCAGTAGTTTAGTACACAAGCTGAGATTTCAGAACAAGTTAGGACCTAAGCCACTTACTTGCCTTCTCAGTCTCACTTTTCTTACTTGGGATTGTGAAGTTTTTAAGTGTCTGATTCTACCTATATAATGGTTCTTAAGAAAGATTAATGTTTAGCTTAGGTTATTGTCTGTCTTCTGTATATGTATGTATCTATCATAGTCTTTTAATACCCGTCATAAAAGACTTTTTCCTCCCTTATTCACACAGGCTGGCTTATTAGCTGTATTGGCCCAGATGGGTTGTTATGTACCTGCGGAAGTGTGCAGGCTCACACCAATTGATAGAGTATTTACTAGACTTGGTGCCTCAGACAGAATAATGTCAGGTGAGGTTTTTTTTTTCCCTTGCATGAGGCTTTATTACTTGATTTTTCTTTCTTTTTTTGGTGTTATGTGAAGCAAAATGCTCTCAGGCATTTGAAAACACTATGAAATTCTTAAAATACTGTGAGTAATCTCTTTAATGACATTTAACCTTTTGTACAACTGGGCAGCTCATGATAAATGCAAATAGTAGGAACCTGTAAGATGAACTTACTGTACTGTTGTAATAGGATTTTTTAAATGATTGCCCATTTGTGATTTTTTTAAGGTGAAAGTACATTTTTTGTCGAATTGAGTGAAACTGCCAGTATACTTACACATGCAACAGCACATTCTCTGGTGCTTGTGGATGAATTAGGTAAGACAGTACAATTTCCATTTGAAGGCTATCTTTAAAACAAGTATTAAAAAAAGAATATGAATGGACTCAACTTTGTGCCATAGACCCACAGTTGGCGATAATGTGTAAAGTCTTTGATTACGGAATTTCTTAATCCTATTCAAATTTGGTTGCTATAAAATATGGGGATAACAAGAGTACCTAGGGAGAATAGGGAAGTTCTGAAGATCAGGGGGTACTTGACAGTAGTCTTAAAATGAAATGGACCCTCACTCCAAGGGCTAAGCAGACCTATTTGACTAAACAACCTAATTTTTATCCTGAGGACACACCCATTGATTTTAGAGAAGGGCAACGGGGAGGGAAAGGACAGGAAACATCAGATCAGTTGCACACCTACCAGGGACTCCAGGGACCACACCCACAAGCTAATAAGTAAGGTATGTGCCCTGACCAGAAATTGAACCCACAACCTTTTGGGTTTGCGGGACAATGCTCCAACCAACTGAGCCACACTGGCTAGGGCTAGAATACTTGTAACTGATGTTGTTGTACCCTGTTTTTTGAGTGAGGTACATCCTTTTTAGGGAGATACTAATTTATGCATGTTTTACTTTCCTAGGAAGAGGTACTGCAACATTTGATGGGACAGCAATAGCAAGTGCAGTTGTTAAAGAACTTGCTGAGAATATCAAGTGTCGTACATTGTTTTCTACCCACTATCATTCCTTAGTTGAAGATTATTCTCAAAATGTTGCAGTGCGCCTAGGACACATGGTATGTACAGACTGCTTATTCAGAAATTGGTTAGGTTTTTGAGATAATCAAGTTGGGTACTTTCATTGTTAGCACATGAGTATAACTAGTATTTCTCATTTTTAGGCATGCATGGTAGAAAATGAATGTGAAGATCCCAGTCAAGAGACTATTACCTTCCTTTATAAATTCATTAAGGGAGCGTGTCCTAAAAGCTATGGCTTTAATGCAGCAAGGCTTGCTAATCTTCCAGAGGAGGTTATTCAAAAGGGACATAGAAAAGCAAGAGAATTTGAGAAGATAACTAATTCACTGCGATTATTTCGGTAATTATAATTGGCCATAATTTTGTTATGCAGCTGACCTTATTTAAAACAGTAAAGAGAGATAGATGATGTACTTTGAAAAATGTGAACTAAAACTTTTTTTTTTTTTAATTTTAAGGGAAATTTGCCTGGCTAGTGAAAGGTCGACTGTAGATGCTGAAGCTGTCCATAAGTTGTTGACTATGATTGAGGAATTATAGACTACATCAGAAGACTTGAGTTCATTTTTTTTTTTTTGGACAAAGGTGGTAAATTCAGACAACGTTATGATCTAATAAACTTTATTTTTTAAAAATGACCATTTTTCCATTTCTTTCTAGGAAATTAAACCCTTTTAATTCTTATCTACCTTCTACATAATGGTTATTGAATACTTCACAATATATTAAGTCTAGATGTTATGGTACATGCATACACTTTCAGGCTGTTTTATACCCACTGTCACCAATACACATAAATGGGGGAGGGAAGCTATGAAACTGTATAGGGCTGTATATATACTTGTCTCAGCTTAATGCAGGAAATTGTTTTAATTTCCAGCAGTTTGTCTAAACTGTTCAAAAAAAAACTTATGAACAGAGTTCAAATACAGGACTGTTTTGAAGAGACTTTCTAAAGTGTACTTTAAAACATAGTAGTTTTTACCTTTCACAAAACTGAGTTACAAGAATACTTTTGTTTTACAGTGCATCCCTTCCTAGGAAGTCTCATTAAAACACTCACTTTTCTAGGGGTGATTCTGAATGCTGCACAGGGAAGGGAAGGAAATAATAGTCTTAACTTTTCTTAAAGGATACCAGAAACATTGCTGGATATAATTTAAGGTTAGTGTTTTCTCTTTCATAGAAAGAACGTACATCCTGGGACATGAGTACATTACAGCGAGTCTAGGTGTGCTAACAAAACAGGGCACGTTCAAGTACAGTAAGATTCTGCTTGAAATTAAAATAAAAAAACAAACTACATGAGATTAAAGCATTAAAATCATATTTCTCAATCTGAATACATGTTAAAAAAATCAAAAGAAATGCAGAAGTGCTAGCTCACATTTTTACCATATTACAAAAAGCAATTGGTACCCATGTCCATAAAGGCAGCAACAAAGCTGCTTGTTGTCTATTGAAGAGAGTTCTACTGCAAATTGGACTGCATTCAATGCTAGCTGTAAAAACACCAGCTTTTTTTCAGAAGTTGGTATCTGTACAAAATTGCAGCTTATTTTTCTTCACTTCTGTCCCTTCAAGTCTTTACACAGTAATGCTAAAACACCCAGCTTTGAGATCCTGAGTCAATATATTGCCACTTTCTTTTTGGTAGCTTCAGCTTCATAGTGTCAACTGACCTCATGTATCCATTTTTAATACAGTCTCTTCCTGTAGCATGGGCAAATATTTTAAATCTTCTTCCAAAAATGTTTTAAGTTATGTTAGAATGGCAGAACTTTTTCTTTAGGTAAGGAATTCAGTTGTGCTGCAATGTATTAGATTCTATAGGTGGAGCAGAGTCATATAGTGTATCTGTATCATGTGTAGGCTCACCAGCTAATGTACAAGGATTAGACAGTGTTCCAGCACCACAGTCACAGAAAAACCTAAAGCAAAATGAAAACCCAAAAATTAGGAAGGGGAGGAATAACTGGGTAATAGAGCAGGCAAGAAGGGGGTGGGGGAGTAATTGGGTAATTGAGCAGGCAAGTATGCTACATACCTATCATGTCTAATAAATTCTACATCATGTCCCTGATGGCACTTCTTAATGCAGTTCACACATATGGCATTTCGATCTGTGGTGTTACAAGTGTGACATCTAAAAAGCAAAAGTTTACATTATTTTTTTCTTGAACATGTTATTCAAAATAATTACTATCAAGTACTACTAAAACAATTACGGGGAGAGGAGAGCCAAAACTCAGTAACTGGGATGTATGGGAACACATCAGAGTCTTGTACTTTCTCCCATATTTATGGTCTCAAACACAGGATCCTCCAGTAGACTGATCACAGAACTCCACGTGGACAAATTATAAAATTTTGTCTTTCAACTGGCAAATACCCAATTTACTCTGCCTTGGCTTACACATGCAAGGGGTAGGGGTGGGGTATCTAAAAACACTAGCTCTTGCCAGTATAGGTGAAAAAAAAAAATCTCCCCCTTTTTCCAGACTCGTAAATAATTTAGAAATATACCTGTAGAAATCATGCATGGGATAGCTGGTATAGCTTGATATTTTATATAAACATTGACCTCTACTAACAGCCTTTTCTATGGCATCTTGATTGTTCATTATTTTGTTATCTGCAATAAAAAAAAGTAAAATTCTAGAGGAGAAAGACATAAGAGAGATAATAGATTATAGGGTTATTGTAACAGAGGCTAACCAATGAAGTAAATAAGAACAGAAAACGGGCTTTCCTTTTGTGTGAGGTACTCCAACTAAAACTGAAGTCAAAACAAAACTTGAAAATCTTGAGTTCTTCGTCGAGTGACAAGAAAATAAGTTACCTAGAGAGCAGTGGCTTTTGATTATTACCTTTTCATAGCATATTTTGTGTATTTATAGGCAAAATGTAGATGCCAACATACCTTTCATTGTCACATTAACACCAGATGCTAAAAATAAGCCTCCAAACCGGTTGTTAAAAATCTGATTGCCTTCTAGTGTTGCAGTCGCATGATTCGTAATTTCAATACCTGAAGTAAAATTTAAACAGATGTATCACTTTATATACTAGTTCTTTTATATCAGATGTATATTAAAGTGCAAGTGTTTACCTGAATGACTGACAGTAACATTTACTTTCCACTGTTAATACACTATACTGGTATGATACAAGATGGTTCATAGTTTACTACTTTTATAAAACTTTGCGAACTAACAAGAGGATAGTGCCTACAAACATGTTTAGGTAACAGCTGGTTTATATACTGGAGAGGAGCTACATGATTATTTGGAATATTAAAAGTAATTGTCTTCATTAGCAAAAAGGTGAAGTATATATGCAGGATACTTGGATTTCACTTATCAAGATTTTTAGAAATGTGTGTGTGAGGCCAGAGGCTTGAATTTAT